ATATTTGTTACGACGACAGGTTATTCAACTTAATCTTAACCTAATAGTTGCACAAAAGGGTTTTTTTTTTTTGAGACTCTAGGTAGACTCCTTGTGTGCCGACAAGTATAACACAAGGCTTACAAACGTAAGTCAATACTCAAACAATAGTGATAGGAAATTACATATAGAAGGAAATATTCACAAATGGGAACCAAAAGAGGGAAAAATGTGAATACAGATACAACAAATACAGAAAAAAATACAAGATTGCTCACATGTGAACGGAGATAATTAAAAATTAAAACTATACAATGAGGAAGTTAAGAAAATATGATCACAAAAAATTTTCAAAATACAAATACATAAAGCATACATACATACACACACATATATATATAAACACACACATATATACATATACACACATATATATTCATGTAAAGAAAATGTTTACAAACACGCAAAATTTACAATCTAAATAATACAGTAATAAATGCAATTAATGTATGCACAAAACGATGTGAAAGATGATTTGCTTTGAACAAAGGCAGAGAAAGGAGGAGGCCACACTATATTGTTCTTTTGTAGGCAACTTCGAAATATTGTTTCTCATACCAATCTGAGAATGTTTTGGCCATGGCATTTTTTCAACAGGAAAAAATTAATTAGAAAGTTTCTAAGTAATATAAACTATTTTTTAAAACAAAAATTGACATTGAAATCAATCTTAGTTAAACAATCATTAAAACTCAAAGTACTCAAAATATAATCAAGCAGAAATTATTTTAATAATGAAAATTGAAATAAATAACCATTTCATACTAAAACAGTTGATTGTGCACAAAAACATTTTTGTTGGTAGTGGTGCTTCTTATTCCAGATGGTGTGGCTTAGCTACACCGTCTCCATAAAACCAAAAATTGCCAAAAAGTCTAAAAACAAAATAGGAAAAATAGTTTTAATTAACATAATTTTAGTCTGTAAAAATGCTTTAAAATGAAACCGAAACCAAACCCTAATCTCATAAAACTTCAAATATCTTAAAAACTAATTTGTTGTCAGATCTAAAATTTGTTGGCAAGCTAAACAACAATTTAGACCACTAGAATATTCCAAATAACTTTTTTCTTTGTTACGTTTGAAATTTGTTGAGCCTTAAATAAAGGAATTTTTGCTTGTATTTTTAAACAGTAATATATATTATGTTACTTATAATATTAGGCAAATAAATTGACTAGTTTTAATTTTCTTAGAACATTGTTTTAAATGTTTACTTAATATTTTAAAATTAGTAATAGAATTAGCGAATAAACAACGCGACATATAAGTGAATCAAAATTTTCAATGGAAATGTTTTGTCTATACAAATACATTTAATGCATGTTTTAAACTTATGACAATAATAAAATCAGTATAAATGTTAAAAAAAAACTTATATTAAACCCCAATACCGCTGTATAAAAGTAGCTTCATGAAGTAATCTTACTGTAATGTAAAAAGAATCATATTTTTTTTACTGATTTATGTCATTAAAAATGTAATGACATCAATTTCGCAAGATAAAATACAGATTATATGTTTAAAATTGTAAATTTATTGTGCCTAAGATTTTTTCTTCGGGTAGTAAATTTTTATAAGTACATTGATTTATTTCAAAAATTAGAAATTTGTATATCAGATTTCATATTTAAATCTACTAAAACTTGAATTGTATATTGTATATTTCCTTGATTGATATTGTTCTTCTTACTCAGATCAGTAACTTTCATAATAATACGTACAGTAGTTTTTGAACTTTTACTCTTGAAAGAGATTTTCCTTAACATGTACTGACAAGATACCGAATTACCAGTGTTCCATAGATTTTTATGAGATCTCTCTTGTAATTGGTTAGCTCATCGGAAGGCATCAGACCAATGAGATACTCTTGATGAAAAATGACGTCGCCGGTCAGACACTTATCTATTGTCTCAAGTGGTTTATTTCAAAGGTGATGGGGCACAAATAGTGCCGAATTAACGGTGTTACGATGAAGGACAGCGATTTGTTACAAGTATGTTTTCGTCCTTGGAAACGATGGGATTATATCCTCAAGATTGACAACCATTTTTGGAGTTGATATATAAAGTCAATTATAGTTTAAACTAACTAAAAAACAACTTTTATAGTTAATCGAACTAAAAAGTAAAAAAAAATCATATTATGAATAAAATGATTAACAAGGAAATTTATTTCATAATGGTAAAAGCTTTAAGTGCCCGATATCAAGTGTTATAATTCCTTACTAGTTCTATTCTAAAATGTAGAGTTAGTGTAAAAAATGTAGTACAAAGCACCCCACGCGCATTTACCTCAATGACATAAATTTTCTCGTTAACATCTTATTCTCATATTAAAAATTACTTTTTTACTTTTTAATTCGATTAAACATAAAGTGTTTTTTTAATTTTTTTAAACTATAATTTCCTTTAATTTTTTACACAAAACATATACGTCCCAAATGTTGATCACCAGCGAAGGAAAATAAAATACTTTTTAGTAATATTTATTTAAATTTTCTAAAAATTTTGTCTAAATTTACGAAATTACGGAGACAGATCACAGTGAGTGTCATGAGTGCAGTAGGCAATCTTCATATTGGAGTCTCATTTGTGCACAGTTTGGCCATTTTAGCACGTTTGGATTAAAATGCTGGGATAATCGCATACAATTGGATAAAACCTGATTATGCGCCTTAACGGATTAAAATGCTTTTTTCCTTATGTTTTAGAAATTTTTAAAATATTTACTGCCTGGTATAAATCTTGAGTAACGATGCTAATCTTCTTTCAAAATGTTAAAAATTAATAAAACCATTTTTTACTCAAAATATAATTTATATATTAATGTGTTACACGATTCCTTCAAAAATAGTGTTCTTCAAATTATTTCTTTTAGCATGATTGAAGCGGAAATTGATACTAGTTTTTTTTTTTTCATTTAAACTCTTTAGTTCTTAAAAATGCAATGATAATCTACAATTCTAAGGAATACTGTTATCTTAAGAGTCATGAGTAATTTATAAAATAAGGAAGTTCTATATTTTTTTGTTAAAAATATCAAAACATTGTGTAAATTTCAAAAATTTTGTAGGATATTAAGACCATAGAAAGAGCATTTGTGTTACATGCCTTTGAAGAAATGGTTGAATAATGATAATCCATATTAATTAACTTAAGGATGATAAAAACATAATTATAAGAAATTTTTCTACTCCAAAGAAATTTTTGTTATCATTTAGTGATATTTAATTTCTTAAATTAAACAATATTTTATTCAACATTATGTATTGATATAAAATATCCAATAAAAAAATTGAAACGGCTTGTTCAAAAAAATTACATATGTAATAGGGATTTTCTTTCATGGCTTTTTATGAGAAAGGGATTTGTGAAACAGGAAATAAGGACCTAATTAGTATTTTTATGGCATAATATGATAAAATGACCGATTTTCTGGATTGCAATCAAATCAGTCAATTTTTGTGACAAAATATAATGTGTATGGCATTTTAATTATCATGTGCTATCAGCATATTTAGTGGGTTTTTTTTGCTTAGCAATTGTAATTCTGCTAATGTTCTTACTATACAGCATCTTAATTGCTAATTATGTTACAGTATATTATTAGTGAAACGTCAAGATCTATGACGATTAGTTAAAAAAAGAGAAATGATTGAAAATAACTATAGTACTTGTTCTTCGAGAAAGAAAAGAAAGTTTCAGTAAAAGCTTTATGATTATTGGAAATTAAAAAAAAAAGAGTAAAAAACATTGCTAAAATCAACGCATCATTCTATTAGGAAAATGGTTTCAGGCTCAACTTATGGGAAAGTAAAACCATTTTTGCTTACCCCAATATTTGCAGAGAATAAAACTACATGAAAACAAAGCCAACCAGTCACACTTCAATAACAACTACTGAATGCGATTCCTTGAAAAATACGTGCTCCTACGCGCACGGACGTATATATTAGAACATATTCCTGCAAAGTCCCCTGACATTTCACTCGTGAACTTTTGTGCTTTGCTGAAAAAAAGCTTATTCTAAGTGCAACACCACCGTGATTGATGGATTCTGATAGACAGGGAAATACAAATGGCAAGCAGTACATATGGGAATTTTACGAAGAGCTCTTCTGTCAAGAAAGGTATTATACAGGCGTATAGTCCAGAAATATATTTATGTAATCGAATAGTTTTCGAAAATTCTTTTTGGAAAAAAGAATTTATTCACAAAATTCCTTCATATTTAAGGGGAGGGTACATCGATTTTCTTTCAATGAAATTCTATTAAGGTTACAAAATTGTGTGTACAATAATGCTAGGAAATGTTAATGAATCAGTGAGCATTCTTCTTTCAAAATTAGGCATAGTTTTGTAAAATATAACAAAATTCGAATTTAACCAATGTGTTTTTCAATTCCTACTATTTTAATTCACACTCTCCCTATATATACATATATAGAGAGTGACAACGACCAGATTGAACTAAGTATGCATTTATTTAGGGGAATTTTATCTACAAGGAAGGGCTAAAATTTAGTAAGAAGTTATCGGGTGGTTGGATTCCACCAGGCGTCTCGTCGCTGCGCCTTCGTTCCTTCGTCTCGTCCCGTCTGCGTCGTCTCTCTCTCTGTCTTCCCGCAATCGTCCTATTCGTCTGTCGTCTCTTTTTCCTCGAACCGCCTTGTCCGCTAGATGGCGCTCTCTTGGCCTTACGTCATTAAGGAATATAGGAAGGATATGATAACGTGCACATCCATTCCTACACATATTTATTCATATATCTTGTTCAAATTTTCAATCGTTAATAAAATACTCTCTATTCATCTATTCAAGTTCAATAAAACTTGTAGTGGATGACACTTGATGCTAATACAGTTTTTTCAAATATTAATTCATTAATTAATGATTAATTAGTAACAAACAAAAATAATAGTCCAACACAGTATATAAAAAGGAAAATTGCTCGTTGTATCCCTGTAGCGCAATGGGTAGCGCGTTGGACTTCTAATCCAAAGATTGTGGGTCGTGGAAATCCCATTTAGGAGAATTCCACCTAATTTCTGAGAATGTGACTTTTACTATACTATTTTATTGGAATAATTAAATTTAATTAATGAATAAATAGTAACAAACAAAAATAATAGTCCAACACCCTATATAGAAAGGAAAATGGGAAATCGCTTTCTGTTTTGCCACTTAATATTGTAATTCTGTCATATGCATATACATATTTATATTAATTGTAGTTATTTAACCCGCGATCACTCACGCGGGGTGTTCTGTACACCCCAGCAACAAGAAAGGCCTCCTACAATTCTAAAAATAATGCACAGAGCCACGATTTTTTCTGTAGCTGCCCATTTTAGGTCATTGAACCTTCAGACCTGATGTAATCAATCTCGCTCGGACGATCTGAATGTAACGACTTTCAAAGTTTATTTGGGGTGCTGAGAACACCCGCGAGTGATTGAGTTATATTTTCGTACTCGAAGCATCTACGAAAAGTAGTTTTACCCTTTCCGTTTACGTTTTTTTTTCAAATATATTAAGATGCACGAATGTTTTATTTAAAATTTCAATAAATGCGGTATAAAAATAATATAATTCTATAAAATATTTGTAAAATACAAATTTTTAAAAAAATTTCAAAATGTTTTCTAGAAATTATGACAAAAACTCCATCAGAAAGGGACAAATAATGACTTTGTCGTCTATTAGATACTGTATCAACAGATTGACAAAATGAACTAAGTGATTTCGATAATTGCGTGATTTCGTAACCAAAGTTGGAGAGATGAAACTTGAAATCATAAATTTTTATAATGCAGGTGGTGTTGATACCACTGATGAAATGTGCAGTATATATTATGTATCGCGAATATGTAACCTTTGGCCATTGCGAATATTTTATCATCTACTTAATACTGCAGGAATTAATGCTTCCTTTGTCTATCATTCGGTTCTTCCTGAAAATAAATGAGGCATTCAATATTATTAGAGGAGATTAGAATGGATCTTGTGCAGCCACAGTGGGATATGAGATCGGATTTCCCAAACCTTAACAAAACACTCAAAATAAGCTTTTTACTGACACAGAATATATTAAAAGAGCATTAATCCCCCTAAAAAGGGTGTTTCACGCTTGTCCACGGTAAAGATGTAAAAATTATTTGTTTTGTTTTCAATGTAAGAAAAATATGTGCTTAAAGCATATGAATTACAGTCTGCTCTTGAATGTTTGAAAATGATTAAAATATTATTTTTCTACTTTTTACTATCCTTATCATTAATTATAAAGTATATTTATTACTGGTATATACGTTTTACTTGTGGTTTATGAAAAAATATAAAATTGTGTACTTTAAAATGAAAATTTTGTAGGTTTAGTTTAAATTAATGCTAGTCTCATTTGAATGCAATAAATTTAACAATTTTGTTTGTATAATACAAAAAACCTCTTATACTTCATAAATATATATCATAATTGAGACTTAAAAATTTTTTCTTATTTAAATACACGCGTTAAGAGAGTGGGGTGTTCTCTACACCCCGCGAGTGACGACGGTAGAAAAACAGGCGCGAGTGACCGCGGGTTAATAAAAGTAACTAAATTAAAATTTTTCTTTGTTGACCTAAATAAGAATTGAATTAATTTTTTTTTTGTTACTGTTTTAAATTTTTTTCGTTAAATTTATTCATTTTTTCAACATGACTAATTCAATCCGTAGAAGGATCAAATATTTTTTAAAAATATGTTTGCATAATCTTATATAAGACAAAAAATAAATAAATAAAATAATAACATAAGCAAAATTTGGTTGAATTTCAGTTAGAAATGCAAATTTTGAAATGTCAATAACTTATCAGTTATTTGATATACTTAAATTCATTTGTTGGCAAGAATGTTTTGACCACTACTTGAGTTAAACCTTTGATTCGTTGGGAACCTCTAATTTTTTTGTGGTGTAATTGGTAGTAACTCTACTGAAAAACTGTCAATTTAAACCTCTTTCATTTCTACATAAGCATTCTTCTGCAACGATTGATAGATGTTTTCTGCAACTACAAAAAAATTTAATTTTAAATGAACTTTTTTTATGTATATTGAATGCCTGCATAATGTTTATCTGCATTGATTATAAAAGATCTACTTGAGGTCAAATTAGCCTCCTTCTAAGCGATAAATATTAAATTTCTTTTAGCTAGTTTCCGTAGGTACTTCCATGCATTCTTCTATCCTTATTAGTTCTCTTATTTGAATACCATGGGGCAAAGAAAAATATACATATACATTAATTTATCGGCGACATCAGGTTTCAATCGAAATATTTCTATTTTTTAAAATATTTAATTAAAAATCACGAAATTATTGTTTCAGAACGGAATCATATTTAATGAATGCATTTTAGAAGTCAATTTTTTCTGGTTTCTATTAATCAATATAACCGCATTTTACAATAATTTAATTGTAGATTAAAAACTGTTGAAACATTTTTTTTCTCCAGTATTTTTCCCCTATATTTCTATAAATGTTTTAATAAGGTAATGTTGTGATCAGTTGCATAAATGCCATTACTTACTTCCATCATCTCATGTTAAATTTAAAAGATATAATCACAAAGAATGCTTCAGATATTCTGCAGTTTGTATCAATTAAATTGAAATTCAGTTTAACAGAAATAAATTTCATCAAGCTTATTTGGCATTGTATCTAAAACAATTTTACATTTAATATTAAAATATTTGTAACTTTTATTTTCTCTCTCCCTTACACACACGCCCACATGCAAGCACTCCCAGACACACACACTTACATATACATATACATTCTTTAATGTGAAAGTACGTGGCATACTGTTTTTGCACATTTTAATTTTACGACAAAAATCGTACTTTAAGCTTCATGTCTAATCCCAAGCAACTCCTACCAACTTAAATATTGTAAGTGTGTTAGAAATACAATGATTTTTTTTAACCTCTTTGCAAAGAAAATTACAAGTTAGCATCATCAATAATAAAATCGTTGATTCTTGGACGGGGAAACTCTGAATAAGCAAATAAAATTCATTTGAATACTTATTTTATTTGAAGGGAATTTCTTTCTTAATTGACCGAAATTTAAATAGTTTTACTTCCAGTGGACGGATTTTTTCGTATCTAATAATAATAATAAAAAAAAAAAAAAATTTTTGAATGTATTATTAAGAAACATTTTGGGGGGAGCATTTAAACAATTTGTGATGACGTACTTAATTGAATCAAACACTGGCATTTTTAAGTTTATTAAGTAGTTTTTCTAGATAAATTTAAATGAAGGACACGTATTTATATAAAATTATTAAGTAGTTTATCTTTATTAAAGTTAAAACTATAAGAGTTTTATATTTCGTTTTAAAGTGAAAAAAGCAATTTACCGAAAATATAGTGGTTTCAAAAAGTCACGTATTGATAGTTTCGAAATTTCTTCCTTCTTTTTATTTATTAATAAATGAATGATTTCCGTTTAATAAGATCATTCTGTAAAATTCGTATGTCTTACAAGCGAAAATATTTTAAGATTCCTATTGGCTATATTTCGATTCCAATTAAAAATGCCGTTATTTAAAATCCTATAATTATTGCAAGGAATTATGTTAAGTGTGAATCAGCTCCTGCGCTTATTATTTTATTTTCATTATTTCCCTAATCCAAATATATCATAAAGTATTCTTAAATAATATAATATTATTTAACATAAATTTGTTAAAACTAAAATTGTAAAATAAAAAACAAAGTTAAATATTTTCCCTTTTACTTCTATTTGTCCAAGTAAGGTAATTAATCCAATCAGTTATTTATTTTTTTTCCACTACGCAGAGGAAAAATATTTGAAAAGAAACATTTACTTAATATATTTTAAGATGGCAACTAGTTTTAATAAATTAAGGTGTTTATTATTATTTTTTATAGCTAATGGGCTACGGATTAGAGTTTTTTCCATTGCAGACCTAGTACATGCCTCAGAAGCTAATGTATCTATTTTTAGTGCGGCATCATATAGACCGCTAAATTAATACTATTATTTATAATTACTAAATACTAAAAATTTAATCAAAGAATTTAAAAATTTTTTCTAAATGTTTGTAATACACTAATTTTATTATTTAAATGCACCCACACTTGTATTATTGTAAATCTCTTTCTCTTAAAAATATATGCATTTGTGTATTACACTCACACTGAAATAGAAATTGGAATATTAAGTATTAGGGACAAAATGCGACTAAATAAAATTTATAGTTTGAAAATATTATTTCCTTCATTGGCATAATTATTAACCCTTTAACTGCTGAGAAAAAGTCACCAAAATCAGCACCCCCCAGTTCCACTTTCCCCACAGGACTCGCGTTGTTAAGCGGTTTATTGTGGGGAAAGAAAAGGCATGTTTTCCCACCCAAAAATTGTTTACTTTCATCTTAAAAAAAGAAATAAAATAATAAAATGAAAAAAAAATTAATTTCTAGAGTTACAATATAATCAAAATAAATTATAACTTATCTGTTCTGTGAGATATCCAAAAGGGGGGCCTTAAACCAGTATCACATTCAGTGCACTTGTACAAAAATTTAAAAAGCCCCTATTAAACACAGTAATCGCGAAAATGACAGCAAATGAAGAATAGCAAAATACACACTCAAACGAAAAAACAAGAAAAACTGCTTAGCTATGAATTTCATCGTTCCTGGAATATACCCTTACAAACTCCCCTTCCCCACTTCTCCAAAATAAGTACATTCTTTAAAAGCACTGTCAATGTCATGTTATTGTATTCCAAAGCTTTGGGACCAGTTTTAAACAGAGCAGCACAATGCAAAAAGTCCTCCTTTGGAAAGACGAATATACACGTCCGGGACACTAAAGACACCGGCTCAACAGGACGTGTATACACGCCCGTGGCACTTAAGACTTTGTTACACATTGGTTGATTGTGTGGTTTTAAGTCCGTAGGTTTATAGCAGTATTTGTAGTTGTTTTTAGTACATGAATGTATTTTACTAATTCTTTGTG